ACATCTTTTACTCTATAACCTTTCATCCAAAGAGGAGGTCAAGACGAGCCTGCCTGGGGCCAGTCCCTGTTTCTCTCCAGTTCCACCTGCATTTCCCCAGGGGCCACGCTTCACCTGAGTTTCTGGGAAAGGACAGCTGGAAAGGGCCTTCTGACTCTCCACATTCCACACTACACCCAGGTCAAGACTTGAGACACAGAAACAATGGCCCTCCAAGGGGACAGGGCCAGCACCCAGCAAGGAGGGAGCCCCACCCTCTGGGTAGAGAGAGGAGTGAGGCTGAGAAGATATCCTGGAGGCAGAGGCTCCTCGGGGTGTGAAGGGGAGGAGTCAGCCAGGAGTAGAAAGGGTGTGACAGCTCCGAAGGTGTCCTAGCATCTGCCCTGGTGACTTCTTTTGAAAATATCTACTCCTTGCCCCAGGCGACAAACTACATGAACTATGGGTGAAATGCTGCCTGCCTGGTTCTGACATGACCCGTTGCTGATCAGACTAATGTAGCCATCAGCCAGGCCTTTCTTCCTAGTCTGTCTTAGTCTGAAAGAGCCATTGAAATCCATTATGCATTATAAAAACCGAACCTACTTGCCACTGAGTCAACATAACCCCCTGTGCCACCAAGTCTCCTTGCTTAGCAACACGACAACCCACCAAAGCTCCACTGAGGTGCAGGTACTCCCTGCACATGGAGGGCACTGATCCAGCTCTTCTGCCTGGAAGAGGAGCATTCTGCCCCAGCGCCACCCTCTCCTCTCTTAGTCCCTGGGGAATTACAGCTGTTGAGGCTCGTCCTGTTTCTCAGATCCTCTGTTCTGTACTGGACACCTATTGTTGGGGCTCCATCTTTGGCCCTCAGCTCTTGCAGCTCTTGGCCGTCGTACAGTTTCTCTCTTCCCAAGGTGTCAACCTCAATCCCCTCCCCACCGTCCATTCTCAAGTCGCTGACTCCTGGCGGGGGTGGGGGGGTGTCCGTATTTGTTCCCAAAACTCAAGTGTTCATTTTCATGTTGTCCATTGGACACCGGCACTGTCACTCTTACATTCGAAACTGGACATCTTAATTACCCGCCCCCTTCCTCACTCTGCTCCCAAGCCAACTCCTCTTCCTGGTTTCTCTCTATATCTTGCTCCCTTATCTGACATTCATTTTTAGGCTGGAAAACCTCACCTTTAGTTTGTAAATCTTTATGGGAGTAGAAAGCCTCATCTTTCTCCCCAGGAGTGGCTGATGATTTTGAACTGCTGACATTATGGATAGCAGCCCAAAGCATAACCCACTACACCAGGGCACCTTTTCCTTTGAAGTGGCACCCATATTTTCCCTTTCCCTCTTATTGCCAAAGTGGATCCCACCGCTGAGCTTAGATTAGTGCCATAGTTCTCAAAGTGTGATCCAGAGACCAACACAATCAGCATCACTTGAGAGCTTGTTACAAGTGCAGATTCCCAGGCCTGCCCCAGACCCTCTACTGCATCAGAACCTCTGGAGATGAGGCCCAGCCAGCTGCCTTTTTATATGCCCTCCTACAGCTGCTGGTGCAGTGGAAAAATCTCAACCATAGGCCTTGTGGAACGATCTCTCGAGAGCCTTCCACAATCCACCGTAAGGGTGGCTACCCATTCATTGACGTCTAGTTACCTACTCTGTTTACTGCCAGGAATCTGCTCTGGAACCATCAATGGCTCTCAATTTCCTAGCCCAGGAAGGCTGAACTCTTCCACCTAACTCTTGAAGCATCAGGCTTCACCTCCCTAGATTTCTTCTCAGGAGACTGCCTACGATCCTGCATTCTATTGGTGACAATGTCTTCACCTCTTTTAAGTCCCAGGCCATCTAGTGTGATGTTTATCCACCGGCACTCGGCATGCCACCCCACCCAAGGCTGGATTTGGGCCTTTCTTCAAAACTCATGGCCATTGGATCAATTCCGACTCATAGTACCCCCTATAGGACGGTGTGGAATTGCCTCTGTGGGTTTCCAAGACTATAATTCTTTCCAGTAGGAGAAAATCTCGTCTTTATCCAGAGGAGCAGCGGTTGGTTTCTAACTGCTGACCTTTCAGTTAGCCCAACGTATAATCAAGCCTCCTGGGCAAAGGGGCCACTCCCTCTCCGACCCTCCACCGCCCCCCCCTCCCCTTAGACTGACATAAATCCAACACTTAGCTGCAAAATAATGCTGTGGAACGCAACCAAACAAGATTCTTTCCCTGCAAACATGGCTTGGTTGCTTTAAACGAGGTGTTCGTCAAGCTCTTTCTAAAAAAAAATATATATATATATATATATATGCGTCTATGTGGCCATCTTGCTTTCGTCGGGGCCCAAGTTCATGCTCCAAGTTTTATCTACTTGCTTCATCTAATTCTGCCTCTGTGGGCCCGCATTCTCTCTCCTGCTGAGTGCTCTGCTCATTTTAGGGGCGAAATTGAATAAATACATGCATGAATGAGCCGCCTCGTCCATTCCCTGGGTCCGAGGGAAAGCATTTTGGAGTTCTCTTGTTTCCCCGATCAGTACGGGCAAAGGCGGAAATTAACACATAATCATTGATTTCAGGGTTCCGGGTTACTGACAATCTATACTGCCAGAATGTTGGACATAATTACTCCTTTTCTACTGCCTCGAAGCCCCTGGGTGGGCCTAACGGTTGGCCGTTTTACCTCACCCTGTGGCGCCATGGAAGCAAGATCGGGTGAACTGCTTGCAGAAAGATAGCCGTGAAGAGAACCGGAGGAGGCAGTTCTCCTCAGCAGCACACACAACAGAAGCACGGAAGGCACTGTGGGGACGCAAGGGTTCCGTCCTTGGCTGCTAACTGAAAGGTTGATGGTTCAAATCCACTCAAGGACTCCATGATACAAAGCCCGGGCAATTCTGCCCTGTCGGGGGGGTGGGGGTGGTGGAGGGCGGGGTGGAGGTGGGGGGTGGGTGTCACTATAAGTCAGCATTGACTCAGTGGCAAAGTTTTCAGTCATGTTTTTTACTTTTTTTGGTTCTACAGCTTAGACCTAGTTTTCTGAACCCGATAGCCTGCAGGTACCCGTTGGCAAGCACGCGACAGTCCGAGAGGCGCGCGACAGCGAACATTAGCTAAGGCGCCATTTGCGCCACGGCGACCATTACGTACGACGCCACCCACGCGAGACTTCGAACATTAGCTACGATGCCACCCGCGCCACTGCGAACAATGGCAAAGACGTCACCCGCGCGTCTTCGAACTCTAGCAAAGCCGCCAGCGGCGCCATTATGAACTTCAGCAAAGACGCCACCCCATCGGGGATAACTATTCCTTGTCAGTCACTTTCGAAAGTCTAAGTCAATAAATAAATATCCCCTTTTCAGAGGAATCACACCCAGCCCCACGGAACTGCCAAACACCGTCGACTTTTGACTAGAAAACGGTCCTCGCTCGCGGTGAGGACGTTCCTAACTCCAAGCGGTTTCGTCCAACCCTCCGACGGAAGAAATCGACGCAGAGCTCAACGTCTGCCTGGCGACTAGTCAACGCGAAAGACCGACCGTCTGTCTCTATGGGACTCTCCACAGAGGCGTCCTCCTTTCTGAACAACCGCGCCAGGATGGCTGCGGCCATCTCCACAGTTCGCCGTCCCTGAGGTCCCCTCAGCCCTCTTCGCCCCCAACCCCTTCACCATCTCCGGAGCGCCCCGGTGACTTACCCGCCATCAGTGGGTTGACCACGATTCCGGGGAACTCGAGGACAGGCGGATTTTCCCCCTGATTCGCGCTGCCGTTCTCGCCGTCGCCTTGACCGTCCATCGTGCGCTCGCGGCGGACCAAGTTCTGCGTTCCGCTTCAGTTGCTCGGGAGCGTCTGAATCTCCCACGCCCCCTTCCGGCCCGCGAAGTTCCAGGCGCGAGCGCACGGGCGTCTTACCTGGGGGCAGGCGGCCACGCACGCGCACACGCGCGCGCGCCCGCGC